AGGACTGCTGAGCACTGTGGGGAGAACAGACATGGGCAGGAAGTGAGGGACAGTGTTAGTGCCACAATTCAAGAGTGACAGGGTGGTGGGGACTAAGGGGAGGGGAGGGTGTGAGGGATGAGAGGGGCAGGGAGAAGGGCTGGAGAAGCAGGAGGTGAGGAAAAGGGGCAGGGGAAAGAATTTTAAAGCCCTGGAAGAGCCTAGCAGGGGGTTCTTTGCATTTGTATTTAATGCATTTTGTAGGACTTCCTGAAAACTAATGGCCTCTTTATGATTTTTAAAAAAAGGGTTACAAAATACCAAGTGTCCAAATAAAATATACTCATTGCTTAGATGTGCATAGTTCAGGAAAACAGGCAGTGCTTGAGCGTTGGTGAAGAGCATTGGGACTGCATGGAGCACTCGCAATTTTGAGTGATGACTACAGGCTCCCGGTTGCAATATACAGTAACAAACCTGCTTCTTTGTATTCAGACGTTCTGGACTCACACAGGAAAACTCCAACTAGGGAATGAAGATATTTTTAAATGCAACAATCCAGAATCACAGATCCACAGTCTAGGAAAGTAAAACTTAGGAGCTCTGAGAGTTTAACTGTAATGCTGTTTTGACACAGGTCTTTTACAGATTGGAATTCTAATCATTCAGGGATTACCAATATTGTGCTACCTATTGTATTAATAAACACAAAGGAAACTGGTCTCTATGAGAATCTCTGTCTGGTTCCTTCAAAACTTCACCAGGTTTAAAGAGAAAACCCCTGTCTCTACACCTCCATTCCCAGGGTTAGCTCACTCTCTGGCATCAAGTTCCCCGTGGTGAGCTTCCTTGTACAGGAGTCCAAGGGGAGAGGTAAGAAGTGGGAGGTAGGGTGTCTAGTTCAGGGATGGGGATTCCAGGAGGAGAAATGAAGGGGAAGGGGCTGGGCGCAGCCTGGGGTTCTCTTTCTGCTTTCCACAGACAGATCCTTGGCCAGGACTCAGGCAGACAGTGTGACAAAAAGGCTTGGCGTAGGAGAAGAAGGATCAGGACAAAGTCCTAGTTGCTGGGCGTGGCTCTCAGGGTCTCAGGCGCCCAGGGCCCTGTCTGCATTGGGGACGCGCAGCGTTGGGGATTCCCCACTCCCCTGAGTTTCACTTCTGCCAACCTGTCAGGTCCTTCCTCCTGGATACTCATGACGCCTCCCCAGTTCTCACTTCCATTGGGTGCTGGGTTTCTAGATAAGCCAATCAGCGTCGCCGCGGTCCCGCTTCTGAAGCCCCGGGTCACCTACCTGGACTCAGATTCTCCCCAGACGCGGATGATGGGATCATGGGGCCGCGAACCCTCCTCCTGCTGCTCTCGGGGGCCCTGGCTCTGACTGAGACCTGGGCGGGTGAGTGCGGGGTCGGGAGGAGCGAGGGGCCAGCTCAGAGGGGGCGAAAGACCCGGGGAGCCGCGCCGGGAGGAGGGTCGGGCGGGTCTCAGCCCCTCCTCGCCCCCAGGCTCCCACTCCTTGAGGTATTTCTACACCGCCGTGTCCCGGCCCGGCCGCGGGGAGCCCCGCTTCATCGCCGTGGGCTACGTGGACAACACGCAGTTTGTGCGGTTCGACAGCGACGCCGCGAGTGGGAGAGGGGAGCCTCAGGCGCTATGGATGGAGCACGAGGGCCCGGAGTATTGGGATCGGGAGACACTGACCCTCAGGGCCAGCGCGCAGACTCACCGAGGGAACCTGCGGACCCTGCGCGGCTACTACAACCAGAGCGAGGCCGGTGAGTGACCTGGCCCTGGGCGCAGATCACGGCCCTCCTCATCCCCCACGGACGGTCCGTGTCGCCCCAAGTCTCCGGGTCGAGATCCACACTGAGGCTACGGGACCCGCCCAGACCCTTGACCCTAGATAGCCCCAACGCCTTCACCCGGTTTCATTTTCAGTTTACGCCCAAATCCCCGCGGGTTGGTCTGGGCGGGGGCGGGGCTCGGTGGATGGATCTGACCGCGGGGTCGGGGCCAGGGTCTCACACTCTCCAGACGACCTATGGCTGCGACCTGGGGCCTGATGGGCGCCTCCTCCGCGGGTATTACCAACATGCCTATGACGGCAAGGATTACATCGCCCTTAACGAGGACCTGCACTCTTGGACAGTGACTGACACGGCTGCCCAGATCACCCAGCGCAAGTTGGAGGCCACCCATGAGACGGAGGGGCTCAGGGCTTACCTGGAGGGCACATGCCTGAAGTGGCTCCGAAGATACCTGGCCAAGGGGAAGGAGACACTGCAGCATACGGGTACCAGGGGCAGTGGGGAGCCGTCCCCATCTTCTGTAGATCTCCTGGTCTGGCCTCCCATGAGGATCTGAGGAAAATGGGATCAGTGCTAGAATATCTCCCTCCCTTGAATGGAGAATGGCATGAGTTTTCCTGAGTTTCCTCTGAGGCCCCCTCTGCTCTCTAGGACAATTAAGTGATGACGTCTCTGAGGAAATGGAGGGGAAGACAGTCCCTGGAATACTGATCAGGGGTCCACTTTGACCCCTGCAGCACCCTTGGGGCACCGTGATTTCTTCACTCAGGCCTTGTTCTCTGCTTCACACTCAATGTGTTTGAAGGTCTGATTCCAGCTTTTCTGAGTCCCTCGGTCTCCACTCAGGTCGGGACCAGAAGTTGCTGTTTCACCCTCAGAGACTAGAACTTTCCAAGGAATAGGAGATTATCCCAGGTGCCTGTGTCCGGGCTGGTGTCTGGGTTCTGTGCTCCCTTCCCCACCCCAGGTGTCCTGTCCATTCTCAGGATAATTACAAGGGTGCTGCTGGGGTGTCCCGTGAGAGATGCAAAGTGCCTGAATTTTCTGACTCTTCCTGTCAGACCCCCCAAAGACCCATGTGACCCACCACCCCATCTCTGACCATAAGGCCACCCTGAGGTGCTGGGCCCTGGGCTTCTACCCTGCGGAGATCACACTGACCTGGCAGCGGGATGGGGAGGACCAAACTCAGGAGGCTGAGCTTGTGGAGACCAGGCCTTCAGGGGATGGAACCTTCCAGAAGTGGGCTGCTGTGTTGGTGCCTTCTGGAGAAGAGCAGAGATACACGTGCCATGTGCAGCATGAGGGGCTGCTGGAGCCCCTCACCCTGAGATGGGGTAAGGAGGGGGATGGGTGAGGAGGGGGATGGGGAGTCGTGTTTCTTCTCAGGGAGAGCAGGAGCCCTTCTGGAGCCTTGAGCACTGTCAGGGCCCCTCACTTTCCCCTCCTTTCCCAGAGCCGTCTTCCCAGCTCACCATTCCTATTGTGGGCATCATTGCTGTGGCTGTCCTAGGAGCTGTAGTCATCGGAGCTGTGGTCACTGCTGTGATGTGGAGGAGGAAGGGCTCAGGTAGGGAAAGGGTGAGGGGTGGGGTCTGGGTTTTCTTGTCCCATTCAAGGTTTCAAGCCCCAGGTAGAAGTGTTCCCTGCCTCATTAGTGGAAAGCACCATCCACACATGGGCCAACCCAGTCTGTGGCCCTGTGTGCCAGTACTTACTATTTTGTGAAGCACATGTGACAATGAAGGACAGATATATCACCGTGATGATTTTAGTGTTGGGGTCCTGATTCCAGCATTCATGAGTCAGGGGAAGGTTTCTGTTAAGGAAAGACCTTAAGAGGGCAGTTGGTCCAGGACCCACATCTGCTTTCCTCGTGTTTCCTGATTCTGCCCTGGGTGTGCAGTCACCGTGGTTAGAAACTTTTTTTGGAGGAAAGTTTCTTGGAACCTCCAAGTCTAGGAGACTTCTCTAAGATCTCATGGCCCTGCCTCCTCCCTGTCCCCTCACAAGACATTTTCTTCCCACAGATGGAAAAAGAGGGAGCTACTCTCAGGCTGTGTGGAAGTGATGGGGGCAGGTGTGTGGAGGAGCTCACCCACCCTATAACTCCTCCTGTCCCACATCTCCTGCGGGCTCTGACCAGGTCCTGTTTTTGTTCTACCTAGGTATCGACAGTGCCCAGGGATCTGATGTGTCTCTCATGGCTTGTAAAGGTGAGATTTTGAGGGTCTGAAGTGAGTATGGGGTGGGGCAGCAGGGAAAGGACTGTGTAGTGAGGATTCTTTGATTGGGATGTTTCAAGTGTGTAGTGGGCAGTTCACAGTCTCATCACTTACCATGACTGACCTGGATTTGATCACACCTATTGTTTTCTGTAGCCTGAGACAGCTGCCTTGTGTGGGATTGAGATGCAGGATTTCTTCACGCCTCCCCTGTGTGACTTCAGGAGCCTCTGGCATGTCTTTCTGCAAAGGCATCTGAATGTGTCTGCATCCCTGTTTGCATAATGTGAGGAGGTGGAGACAGCCCACCCAGTGTCCACCGTGACCCCTGTCCCCATGCTGACCTGTGTTCCCTCCCCAGTCATCTTTCCTGTTCCAGAGAGGTGGGGCTGGGTGTCTCCATCTCTGTCTCCGCTTCATGGTGCACTGAGCTGCAGCCTCTTACTTTCTTACTGAAAATGATAATCTGAATATAAATTTGTTTTCTTAAATATTTGCCATGAGAGGTTGATGGGTTAATTAAGTCAATTCCTAAAATCTGAGAGAGAAAATAAAGACCGCAGAACCTTCTAGAATCCACGTGTTTGCTGTGCTGAGTTTGTTGCCTGTGGGGTTGGAGAAGGCTGTGAGGAGGCGAGTGTGGACAGGGCCACTAGGTTTTCTTCTAGTGTTTTTATGGCAGTAGGTCTTAAGTTTAAATCTTTAATCCATCTGGAGTTAATTTTTGTATAAGGTATAGGAAGGGATTCAGTTTCATCTTTCTGCATATGGCTAGCCAGTTTTCCCAACATGATTTATTAAATAGGGAATCCTTTCGCCATTGCTTGTTTTTGTCAGGTTTGTCAAAGATCAGATGGTTGCAGATGTGTGATGTTACTTCTGAGGCCTCTGTTCTGTTCCACAAGTCTATATCTCTGTTTTGGTACCAGTACCATGCTGTTTTGACTACTGCAGCCTTGTAGCATACTTTGAAGTCAGGTAGTGTGACGCCTTCAGCTTTTTTTTTTTTTGCCTTAGGATTGTCTTGGCTATGCATGCCCTTTTGTGGTTCCATATGGTATTTAAGGTTTTTCCCCGCCCCCTCCCCCCAGTTCTGTGAAAAAAGTCACTGGTATCTTGATGGGGATAGCATTGAAAGTGTAAATGACTTTGGGCAGTATGGCCATTTTCATGATGTTGATTCTTCCTAACCATGATCATGGAGTGTTTTTCCATCTGTTTGTGTTCTCTCTTATTTCCTTGACAGTGGTTTGTAGTTCTCCTTGAAGATGTCCTTCACATCCCTTTTTAGTTGTATTCCTAGGTAGTTTATTCTCTTTGTAGCAATTGCCAATGGGAGTTCACTCATGATTTGGCTCTCCGTTTGTCTGTTATTGGTATATAGCAATGCTTGTGATTTTTGTACATAGATTTTGTATCCTGAGACTTTACTGAATTTGCTTATCAGCTTAAGGAGATTTTGGGCTGAGATGATAGGACTTTTTTTTTTTTTTTTTTTTCAGAAAAAAGAGTTATTTTAGAGAGAGAGAGAGAGAAAGAAAGACAGCTCCCACACTGTCATGGGAGGGGACCCAGAGAAGGAATCCCGATGTTGTGGTCTTCTAAATATACAATCATGTCATCTGCAAATAGAGACAATTTGACTTCCTCTTTTCCTAACTGAATAACCTTTATTTATTTTTCTTGCCTAATTGCCCTGGCCAGAACTTCCAATACTATGTTGAATAGGAGTGATGAGAGAGGTCATCCTTGTCTTGTGCCAGTTTTCAAAGGGAATTCTTCCAGTTTTTCCCCATTCAGTATTATATTAACTGTGTGTTTGTCAGAAATAGCTCTAATTATTTTGACCTATGTTCCATCAATACATAGTTTATTGACAGTTTTTACCATAAAGGGCTGTTGAATTTTGTTGAAGGCCTTCTCTGCATCAATCATGTGGTTTTTGTCCTTGGTTCTGGTTATGCGATGGATTACTTTTATTGATTTGTGTGTATTGAACCAGCCTTGCAGCCCATGTATGAAGCTGACGATCTTGATGGATAAGCTTTTGGATGTGCTGTTGGATTCAGTTTGCCAGCATTTTATTGAGGATTTTTGCATTGATGTTCATCAGGGATATTGGCCTGAAATGTTTTTTTTTTAGTTGTATCTCTGCCAGTTTTTGGTTTCAGGATCATGTTGGCCTCAAAATGAGTTAGGGAGGATTCTCTCTTTTTCTATTGTTTGGCATAGTTGCAGAAGGAATGGTACCAACTCCCTTTTTACTCCTGCTTGAATTTGGCTGTGAACTCATCTGGTCCTGGACTTTTTTAAGTTGGTAGGCTATGAATTGCTGTCTCGATTTCAGACCTTCTTATTGGGCTATTCAGGGATTCGACTTCTTCTGGTTTAGTCTTTGGAGGGTGAAGTGTGTCCAGGAATTCATCCATTTCTTCTAAATTTTCTGGCTTATTTGCATAGAGGTGTTTATAGTATTCTCTGATGGTAGTTTGTATTTCTGTGGGATCAGTGGTGATATCCCCTTTATCATTTTTTATTGCATCTATTTGATTCTTATCTCTTTTCTGCTTTATTAGTCTGGCTAGTGGTCTATCTATTTTGTTGATCTTTTCAAAAAACTGGTTCCTGGATTCATTGCTTGTCTGAAGAGCTTCTCCTTTCTCTACTTCCTTCACTTCTGCTCTGATCTTAGTTATTTCTTCTCTTCTGTTTTTTAAAATTGTTTGTTCTTGCTCCTCTAGTTCTTTTAATTGTAACATTAGGGTGTCAATTTTAGATCTTTCCTCCTTTCTCTTGTGGGCATTTAGTGCTATAAATTTCCCTCTAAACACTGCTTTAAATGTGTCCTGAGGTTTTGGTAGGTTGTGTCTTTGTTCTCATTGATTTCAAGAAACATCTTTATTTCTGCCTTCACTTCATTATTTATCCAGTAGTCATTCAGGAGCAGGTTGTTCAGTTTCCATGTAGTTGTGTGGTTTTGAGTGGGTTTCTTAATCCTGAGTTCTAATTTGATTGCACTGTGGACTGAGAGACTGTTATGATTTCTGTTATTTTGCATTTGCTGAGGAGTGTTTTATTTCCAATTATGTGGTCTATTTTAGAACAAGTGTGATGTGATTCTGAGATGAATGTATATTCTGTGGATTTGGGGTGGAGAATTCTGTAGATGTCTATTGGGACCGTTTGGACCAGATCTGAGTTCAAGTCCTGGATATTCTTGTTACTTTTCTGTCTCATTGATCTGACTAATATTGACAGTGTGATGTTAAACTATCCCACTATTAATGTGTGGGAGTCTAAATCTCTTTGTAGGTCTGTAAGAACTTGCTTTATGAATCTGAGTGCTCCTGTATTGGGTGCATATATATTTAGGATGGTTAGGTCTTCTTGTTGCATTGATCTCTTTACCATTGTGTAATACCTTTCTTTGTCACTTTTGATGTTTGTTGGTTTAAAGTCTGTTTTGTCAGAGACTAGGATTGCAAAACCTGCCTTTTTTTTTTTTTGAGCCTACGTGTGTGTTTGCATGTGAGATCGTCTCCTGAATACAGCACACTGATGGGTGTTGACTCTTTATCCAATCTGCCAGTCTGTGTCTTTTAATTGGGGCATTTAGTCCATTTACATTTAAAGTTAATATTGTTATGTGTGAGTTTGATCATACCATTATAATGCTAGTTGGGCCGGGCGCGGTGGCTCATGCCTGTAATTCCAGCACTTTGGGAGGCCGAGGCGGGTGGATCACGAGGTCAAGAGATCGAGACCATCCTGGTCAACATGGTGAAACCCTGTCTCTACTAAAAATACAAAAAACATTAGCTGGGCATGGTGGCGCGTGCCTGTAATCCCAGCTACTCAGGAGGTTGAGGCAGGAGAATTGCCTGAACCCAGGAGGCGGAGGTTGTGGTGAGCCGAGATCGCGCCATTGCACTCCAGCCTGGGTTGCAAGAGTGAAACTCCGTCTCAAAAAAAAAAAAATGCTAGTTGGTTATTTTGCCCGTTAGTTGATACAATTTATTCATTGTGTCTATGGTCTTTCCAATTTGGTATGTTTTTGCAGTGGCTGGTAGTGGTTGTTTCTTTCCATGTTTATTGCTTCCTTCAGGAGCTCTTGTAAGGCAGTCCTGGTGGTGACAAAATATCTCAGCATTTGCTTGTCCATAAAGGATTTTATTTCTCCTTCGCTTGTGAAGCTTAGTTTGGCTGGATATGAAATTCTGGCTTGAAAATTCTTTTCTCCAAGAATGTTGAATATTGGCCCCCATTCGCTTTTGGCTTACAGGGTTTCTCCCAAGAGATCTGCTTTGAATCTAATGGGCTTCCCTTTGTAGGTAACCCGACCTTTCTCTCTGGCTGCCCTTAGCATTTTTTCCTACATTTCAACCCTGGTGAATCTGACAATTATGTGTCTTGGGTTGCTCTTCTCAAGGAGTATCTTTGTGGTGTTCTCTGTATTTTCTGAATTTGAACATTGGCCTTCCCTGCTAAGTTGAAGTTCTCCTGGATAATATCCTAAAGAGAGTTTTCCAACTTGGTTTCATTCTCTCCATCATTTTCAGGTACACTGATCAAACATAGATTTGGTCTTTTCATGTAATCCCATATTTCTTGGAGGCTTTGTTCATTTCTTTTCACTCTTTTTTTAAATCTTGTCTTCTTGCTTTATTTCACTGAGTTGATCTTCAATCTCTGATATCCTTTCTTCTGCTTGATTGATTTGGCTATTGAAACTTGTGTATGCATCACGCAGTTCTTGTGCTTTTTCAGCTTCATCAGGTCATTTATGGTATTTTCTAAACTTGTTATTCTAGTTAGCATTTCATTTAACCTTTTTTCAAGGTTCTTACCTTCCTTGCATTGGGTTAGAACATGCTCCTTTATCTCAGAGAAGTTTGTTATTACCCACCTTCTGAAGCCTACTTCTGTCAATTTGTCAAACTCATTCTCTGTCTAGTTTTATTCCCCTGCTGGTGAGGAGTTGTGATCCCTTG